TCATTTTTTCCATCTCTTTCTCTTCCTCAAATTTTAAGCCATTTTTTTCTTCTCCTCAGCGTCAAATAATTTTCTTTATACATTTTGTCTATGCATTTTATTTTTTTTATTTTATAGGCAATAACATTTTCTTTATCTTATCTGTCATGATGATAATCAGAGCAAAACGCTTTTAAATTAAAGCCTCCCACATAAGAAATGAGTTTCTTGTTGTAAGTAATCGAATATTTCCTGTCGTCTGCTGCAAAACCGGTGGGGATTATATGGGGTCATTTCTCTAGAGAATAGACGGTAATAATATCGTTTAAATGATCACACACCAGTGTCTCCGCACATATTCTTCTTTAAGATTTAAAAATAAAAAGAACAAATTAATTTTCTTCCCTCAACGTTTCTCGCTTGCGATATTAATTTGTTGATGACAAAATCTATCAATGCGAATTGCCTTTTTATTAAAAAAAACAAAACAAAAAAACAATTTAAATTAGTAACCCACAAATATCCATCAACCTATAGTTTGCTAATGGTGAGACATCCTTTTCTACAATAGAACCATTCTGCATATATGGATGGGAGGGTTCGTATTACTGTCGGTTGAAATTCATAAAATGTTTCTCTGAAAATAGTTTTGCAGGATAAATAACTTATCATGGCTTATGGTATTGATCGGAATTTCTTTCTCTATATCTTCTAATATTGACCTAAGTTTCTTTGTATATATCTTCTAGTATTGATTGGCGTTCCTTTTTATATATCTTCTAGTATTGACCAGAGTTTCTTTCTATATATCTTCGAGTATTGACCGGAGTTTTTTTTCTATATAGCTCCTAGCATTGATCGGAGTTCCTTTGTATATATCTTCTAGTATTGGTGGAGTTCCTTTGTATATATCTTCTAGTATTTGTGGAGACCCTTTCAATATATATTCTCCGAAATTTCTTTCTCTATATCTTCTAGTATTGACCGGAGTGTCTTTCTCTATATCTTCTAGTATTGACCGGAGTTACTTTCTGTATATCTTCTAGTATTGATCGGAGTTCCTTTTTATATATCTTCTAGTATTGACCAGAGTTTCTCTCTCTATATCTTCGAGTATTGACCGGAGTTTTTTCCTATATAGCTCCTAGCATTGATCGGAGTTCCTTTGTATATATCTTCTAGTATTGGTGGAGTTCCTTTCTCTATATCTTCTAGTATTAACCGGAGTTTCTTTCTCTAAATCTTCTAGTATTGATCGGAGTTCCTTTCTATGTATCTTCGAGTATTGACCGGAGTGTCTTTCTCTATATCTTCTAGTATTGACCGGAGTTACTTTCTGTATATCTTCTAGTATTGATCGGAGTTCCTTTTTAGACACCTTCTAGTATTGACCGGAGTTTCTTTCTCTATATCTTCTAGTATTGACCGAAATTTCTTTCTCTAAATCTTCTAGTATTGATCGGAGTTCATTTCTATATATATTCTAGTACTGACTGGAGTTTCTTTTTGTATATCTTCTAGTATTGACCGGAGTTCCTTTTTAGATATCTTCTGGTATTGACCGGAGTGTCTTTCTATATATCTTCAAGTATTGATCGGAGTTTCTTTCAATATTTTTTCTAATATCGATAGCGGTTTCTTTTTGTATATCGTCTACTATTTATGGGACTTTCTTTCTATATATTTTCTACTACTGATCGCAGTTTTTTTCCCTCGCCATTTGTTTGATGTAATATGGAAAAACAACATTGATTACGTTATCTTTTCCCGTTCTACTTGCAGGGCTGAACCATTTTAGATGTTGTTGCAATTGGGATTCTTCTGGGTACTATCTTTCCTTATTTTTTTAAAACAGTTTACTCCAAGGAAGGCAATAAAACCACTAAGATGCAAGGAATTGCTGAGGATTAGTGAATATGCGGCAAAATATTATTAAAGAGATACAATAATAAAAGAATAATAATTAAGAAGAAAAGAGTTCCACAAGTGAGATTTTGATAGAAGAATCTGTTAGCAAAGGACTTCATGTTACATCATAGTTATTTCAAACTGTAAAAAGACGAGACCTTCTAGAACAATCCTGTTGTGAAGATAAACACTCAGTTGTGGAACAAGCTGAGTGAATGAATACTCCACCTTCAGAAAGAGAGGTACTTATGGTACCATGGAGCATCTCATTGTGCTCAAGTGGGATAGTCCATTGCTTGGACTGTGATTGGCTGCTGGTACATGAGTGGAGGTATTTCTGTATAAATACCAGCTTGTTTCCAGTCAGTTTTCAGGGTTTGTATTGAGTTACAACCTGCTTTATTTTTGTCTGCAAGCTGGACGCTACCTGGGACCCTTACGTCGGTAAGTGCTGTTTATTCTATTGTTATTCTCCAAACCTTTTCTCCAATCTAGTATTGCGCTTAAATTCATAAAGTCTAGGAACGTTAAGAAGACTAATAAAACATTCTTCAATTACCCATATGATATCTATTAATTTACTAGGGTATCATATATATTTTTTAAAGATAAATTCAACTCAAACAAGGCGATAATGCCACTAAGACGCAAGGGGGTGACTGAGAGGGAAAGAGAATGAAAAATTTATAAGGTCCGGATATATAGTATGACAAACTGGGTTCGATAGCCCTAGGTAGAATACGGGTTAAGGGATTTGATATCAAATTTCAGTCGAATTCATTTCATTCACTTAAGTGCTAATACCCTTGGGAAAGCTATGAATCTAACACTTCTCAATCCATTTATTTATCACTAAACCATTACTATCTATAAAAAATATTTTACAATCTAAACATTATCTGGCTTTAAAAAAAAACTGAAAAGGGTTGATAATCCGCAAAAAATGAAACAGTCAACCAATTTGCACGTTACATGTTTTTAAACAACGCTGTTTACACATTTTTCACCTAGTCGTATGGTATCTATAAATTCACAGCTACTAGAGAACCGTATATTTTTCAAATAATTTCACCGCACCCAAGGAGATAATGCAACTAAGACGCAATGGTTATGAGAGTGAAAGAGAATGAAAACTTTATAAGGTCCGGATATATAGTATGACAAACTGGGTGGAAATCGGTCTAGAAGAAGGGAAAGTTTGAATTTAAAACTGTGTGTTAGCCTAGCGAAATATATACTATACATTACAAGCGCCTTCTTACAACATGCCTTGTGCCAGTATTGAAAAGTAGGCTCATAAAACGAACATGATAATCCTTTTTGTATTTCATATTGATGCGCAGTCTGCAACAAGCTGAGTAAGCGATTAATGACGATGACTTAAATAAATAAAATGACGAAAATGTAGGAATTGTTGGGTCATGGATTACGACTCCGATTGAAGAATCGGAGATCTGAGTTCGAATTACAGTCGAGTTCATTACACTCACTTGGCAAACGTATGACCTATCTCTTCACTGCCCCACCAGCTATGGCTAAATAGTAGAACAGATTGGGTCCTATGGCCTTGATCTGCAACCAGAATAGAAGACAGAAAATTCTGAATTAAAACTAACCTTAAAAAATTCATCCATCTGCTTACGTGTAGGTCGCGTCTCTTTATGCAAAGGGTACAAGAAGTAGACTTCGAAAACAAATCTTCCTTGCATGTCATCTCGAACAAAGGGATTGGTCCGTACTTCTAGTGGTGACAGAAAATAATGTATTTATCAGTATTTAGCGAATTCATTTTCTATCTCAATGCAGGCGGTTAGATTACTCTAACATCCTTCCCAAATGGATCTTGTTTTTCTAACTTCAAATAGATCCTTATCAGTTACTTATCAAATGCTTCTGCGTAATCTATAAAACACAGGCTTACATCCTCATGGATTTATATGGCTCTCTCCAATAGGAAGCAGGGATGAATAATGGATACTGTCTCAGATTGAGGAATCGGGAGAATTCAGTTTGTTATATTCAGTTACGTGCCAATACCCTTGGAATTCATCTCTTCTCTCCCGGGCTATGGGTAAAATAGCAGTGCAGACTGGGTCCTATAGCCTTGGGTAACAACCAGTCTAGAAGAAAGAATTAAAAACCGCTTCTCCCTAGTATTTTCTGTCTCTTTAGACAAAGACTAGTAGAAGATAACTACAAAAACAAATCTACTTCGCATATCGACTCGAAGGAAGGAATTGGTCCTCCCTTACTTCCACCCTCGGCAGGAAATAATGTGCTCCTCGGGCTTAGTACAACGGTTCGCTCAAACACGACATTGGAACACGGCACGGCGCCGTCGAGGTATCTTATTTCAGACCATTCGTCTCCATTAAATGAATTTCTAAGATCCTTATCAGTAAACTTATCAAATGCTTCTGCGTAATCTTTAAAACACAGGCTTACATCCTCATTGCTCTCTTCAATAAAAAGCAGAGATGAGTAATGGATTACGACTCGGATTGAGGAATCGGAGAGCTAAGTTCGAATTACAGTCGAGTTCATTACACTAACTTGGCAAAGGTATTACCCATCTCCTCCCTGCACCACCAGCTATGACTAAATAGTAGACCAGATTGGGTTCTATGGCCTTGATCTGCAACCAGTTTAGAAGACAGAAAATTCTGAATTGAAACAAGCTGCTTACGTGTAAGTAACGTCTCTTTAGGCAAATAGTACAAGAAGGAGACTTCGAAAACACATCTTCCTCGCATGTCATCTCGAAAAAAGGGACTGGTCCATATTTCGAGCCGTGACAGGAAATAATTAATTTATTAGGTATTTACTGTGTATTTAGTGAATTCATTTTCTATCTTAATGCAGGAGGTTTGCCTCCATTTTTATTACTGTAACATTCCTTCCCAAACAGATTTTGTTTTTACAATATAAAAATATTATCTGGCTTTAAATAACTGAAAAGGGTTGATAATCCGTAGAAAATGAAGCAATCAACCAACCTAAGCATTACTTTTTTTTTTTAAACAAGATTGTTGAAAATTTTCAACTAGCCATATGGTATCTCTGAATTCACATTTACTAGGGAACCATATATTTTAAAATAAATTCAGCGCAAC